CAACACCAGAATGTTTCCTTCCTGCCTTCCTTATAGGATTAGCCCTGTAAAATGGGAAAAAACAAAAGGAGATTTCTTCCAAAGACCAGTTCTTCAAACTGCTTAGAAAGTTAACAACCAATTCTCCCAAATAGATACGAACTGGCTGAATCCCACCACTGCCTGTAATGTAGACTTTCCTTTTCTGGAGACTGATATAAATAAAAAAAATCTGCTTTCAGAAGTTTTATTTGTTATATAGGGCACCCTTCCGGCCTCGCCACAGCCAGCCAGGGGGTCATGAGAAGGAGGAGGAGGGTAGCCGGAGCCTTAGTGCAGGAGCGAAATGCCACATTTGTGCTCAAGGCAGCTTTTGCACTGGAGCTTACGCCTGCTAGGAAAGGCTGGGGGGATACGACAAGGCAATGACTGGAGGCTTAGTGCAGGAGCAAAGCAGCCCTATACTTGCCTTCGCGCCACATTTGCACTCAAGGCAGCCGTCGCCTCCCACCACACAAGGGGGGGGGGGAAAGAGATGAAAGAAAGGAGAATTCTCCCCTTTTCTCTCTCATCTATCTTTTGCGTGCATGTGCACATACACAAGCAGGATACCCTCCTGGGCCAGGATCACGGGGCAGCAATGGCCATTACTCCTGCTGCTGCTGCCACTGCGCGCTCAGAGTAGCCGGCTGGGCTGTGCAGGAAGAGCCAAAGCTCTTCCTTTCCTGAATTCAGCGGTGGCAGCTGCTCCTCCCTTCCTGAGCTGACATGAAAGGGATCACAGCAGACACTGACCTGCCCACAAAGGATGCGGTCCCCTTTATGAGAGGGAAACAAATGAGAGGGAGAGAGAAGAGGGAGAGGGACAGAGAAATGAGAGAGCGCTGGGGGGAGAGAATGGGAGGGAGGGAAAGGAGAGGGAAACAAATGAGAGAGAGAGAAGGCAGAGAGGAACATAGAAATAAGGGAGCTGGAGGGAGAGAATGGGAGAGAGGGAAACAGAGAGAAAGAAGGGGGAGAAGGAAGAAAAAGAAAGAGGGAGAGGAAAAAGAAAAAGGGAGAAAAAGAGAGAGATGGGAAATGATAGAGGTAGAGAATGAGAAAGGAAAAGAGAAACAAATGAGTGAGAGAAGGGGGAGAGAGAGATGAGACAGTTGGAGGGAGAGAATGAAAGAGGAAAATAAATGAGAGAAGGGGGAAAGAAAGGGAGAAAAAAGAAAGAAAAAAAAGGAAGAAGAGGGGGGAGGAAAAAGAGAAAAGCAGAAATGAGAGGGAGGGGAGGGAGAGCCATTTCCCACAGAAAAAACAGGAGCCACAAAACCTGGATAGGTGCGGCTGGGGGAGTGTCATGTGACTGGGTGGGAGTTACCTTGAGTTGGCCACACCCACCCAGGTTTTGTGGCTCCCGGTGACCTAGAGGCAAACCAAGTTATAACCAAATGCCAACATGGGTTTGTCAAAAACAGATCATGCCAGATTAATCTTATTCTTTGACAAAGTGACAAAGTTAGCAGAGCAATGCTGTGGATATAATTCACTTGGACTTTACTAAGGCATTTAATAGATCACAACCGTACTACACGATAAAATAGAAAATTGTTAGTTAGACAGCATCACCACCAGATGGATTCATAACTGGCTGACAAATCGCATTCAATCGTATTTCCTTTTCTTCCCTTCAAACACTAATTGAGTCAAGCAGTCCAACTCTGCTTCATTTTTTTTTTTTTTTTTGAGATCAGCCCAAGTTGGCCATACACTTTTATCGAGCTGGGAAACTATTGTTGAGATATAGATCTGCCAGCAATACTTATATGGAGTTGAAGAATTTCAGAACAGGCTAAGGCTGGCTGNCTTTCAAAAAAAGGGCGGGGGGGGGAAACAGGACATGCATAGAGTACTCCTGGGGGCTGGGGTGGCAAAAATAAGCAAAAAAATGGTCCGTTTTTCATTTGTTTTTGCCCTCCTCAGCCCCCAGGAGCACTTTGCAGGCCTCCCAAACCCTCTGCACGTCCACTTTTGCGAAAGGGGCGGTGTTTTGGGAACCAAAAATGCTGTATTCAGTGTATAAGACGTACCCAGATTTTCACCCTCTTTTTTGGAGGAAAAAGGTGTACCTTATATTCTGAAAAAACAGGGAACTATCAGTGAAGGGACTCCACAAACGAAGGGAGATAGAAAGACGAGAGCTGTATGAAATCTGAACCAAAGGGAGCAATGCAAAGGCAGGTAGAGGATGACACAGGTCTTCCACTCTTTCTGCCAGGAAGATACTATATTGAAGAATCTCTGCCGTACACTGTCTTGCAGTTTTAGTTTTAATTTATTAAATTTAGTTAATCCTGCCTTCCTCTAATAACATTAAATAGCACCCTCAAGAACTAGAAGTAGAAAGATTTTTTTAAAAATAGCTGACCTTGAATCTCATGTAAAGTGAGTTATTTGCTAAGAAAGCTATGAAAGAAAGTATGACCCATCTTGCCAAGAAAACTGCAGATACAAGTCCAGGCAGTTGCCAGGAATATCAATCAATGGCCTGAAGGTATTTAAACAAGACTAAAATATATCAAAACAAAATAAGAGGACGTGAAGAAAAATATTTTAGGAAAATTGAAACTCTGAGAATGGATGTATTATTGTTTCTTGTGGTCAAACCAGATTAAAGTTGCTCAGCATAAAGCAAGGCTCTCAGGCATCATGTGTACCCCTATGAAGAATTATGGAGGCTCTAGAAAAATTTGAATGGATTGTGCATAGGTGGACTAGAAACCCCAAGAAAATACAAAATCCTATAAAAACTTGCATGACACCACTACAAATCTGTAATCTTATGTATCTCAGTTGACATATGCAAGAAGGTTTGGGAGTGTCCTAATAGAGCAGGGGTGTCAAACTCGCATCGTCACCATGTGATTTCCCCCCCTTCATTAAACTGGGTGTGAGTGTGGCGTTTGACACATCTGGCCCGCGAGTTTGACAGCCCTGTAATAAAGCTTCACTCCGTCTTTCTGATGGCCTTCAATATAGATCTCTAGAGAACACAGAATAAAATCCTTACATTATTTAATGATTCATTCATGTCCACTTATTTCTTCATCAATAATGTTGAAAATCCACTCACTTTTTCTGATTTTCAAATTCTTGAGGCAAGTCACAACCAACGTAAGCGTCATTTATTAGACTGTACTCCAGCAGAGCACCAAAGCAGGGATCCTGACCAAAGGAAAGAGGATTATAAAAGCTGTACAAGATACTATACTATAAAACAGCCATAGCTATTTCTTTGGTTTATATTCCTTAATATTAGCAGGCCTAAATGAGAATATGTTTAAGACATTATATGCAGCTGATTTTCACATAACGCTTTGTTGCTAGGATACCTAAGACGGCAATGTGGGAGATGAGCTGTAGCAAGCATAGTCTAACTTTGTATAATTTATAATACACGTAACTAAAGCCTGTTAAAGTTTTTACAGGCTTTTGGAAGATTTATAATTTTACTGAGACAAAATTACACTTTTCCTGATTTTTTTGAAAGACCTGATTTGGCAACTATCCAAGATGTTCAGCAGACTTTAGTTAATAAAGGTTGCTCTAACTAGAAACTTTAGTGTTTCAAGTTCTGAGTTAGCATTTGAACACCATAAAGGCAATATGAAGAGATTAATTAATTGGTTCACTTTGATAGCACTATTGTTCTCTTAATTATGAAAAATTAAGTTAGAAGAAGCAAAATAAAATAAAACATACTACATTAGCTAAAATTATATTAGTGTGAATTAGAACTAAACAGACAAATGAGGATCATGGCACGGAAGACTGCTGCTGCAACTGACAGCTGAATATGTCGATTAGTATCCGTTGTACATACACAAAAAATATTATTAATTAAATGTATATGCTGCCCATTTTACTGTTGCAACAACTAAATGCAATACAACCCCACTAATATAGCACCACATTTAGCTATAACAATGCACAGTATGGTTGCTATGGGAGGGAGGGACAGTTTGTTATTAAAAGTGGCATTACTTTTGATTAAATGCCGTATAATCCATATATGACATATGTTGATGTCAACACTTAGTCACAACATAAATCTTTACAGGATGAGGCAAAACTTTACAACTCCAAAAAGGATATAGTTAAGATAATTTATGGTAGCATATGTTACTACAAGTAAACAAGAGTTCATCTGTGACTTCATTTGGCTCCCTGCTGTATTTTCATTTAATGAAGTGAAGACTGAGTTCACCATATTTCACATATCTTTTCTGCATTTAATGCATTGCTAAGAAAGGCTGAGATGAATCACTAAGACATAACTTTTCCCCTGAACTTTAAATTGGTGACAGGCAGCTACCAATATCTCAATGATATTATTCTATTAGTGTAATTAAAGTAACATGAATTAGATAATAAATTAGAAATTCTTACTTTGGAAAGCACATGAGGATTTCCCACAACAATGAGCAAAGCCTTGGGTCTGGTAATTGCTACATTAAAGCGCTTTGAATTAGCAAGAAAACCTAGAAAGGGTCTTTCATCACCGAATGAAGTTTCATTTGACCGAACCTGGAACATAAGCCCAAACCATTTAATTTATCCAAAAATGCATAGTGCTGCAAACAATTTTATAATCTGAAGTTGAATATAGCATAGGGATTAAAATGGTGGACCAGAATTAGGGGAGTTCAAGTTCAACTCTGTCCTTAGCCACAGAAACTCACTGGGTGAATTTTGGCTGGTTAGTCTCTCAGTCCATCCTTCTAACATCAAGATGTTGCTACAGGTAGTCCTTGACTTACAACATTTAGTGATTGTTTACTAAACTGAAAAAAGTGACCATTTTTCAGTTATGACTTGTAGGAAATTAGCATCCATCCCTCTCCTAGAAAAATGAAATATTTTAAGAAAGATTAAAAGTGCAGAATATTTCCCGTAAAAGGGAGGCAGGAACTTAGCCCCTTCCCCCACATTTGTTAATGGGCCATAAAGGCCTGGGGTGGTCTATTCTACATATCAAAGATCTACCTCCTTCAAGCAGAGCTATAGTAGGAATTGCCCAAAGCTCTTTCATTGCATCATCACCCAGCAAGAGTCAACCAAGCTTGGAACACAGACATCCTCCAAAGTTATCCCTGCATGGCCCCGTGGGAGTCTGACAACCAATCAGAATACAAGCTCATATTCAAAAGCCTAGAGAGGGCATAAAATCCAAGCACTCTCAGCATCTCTGCCTTTTCCTCCAGCATCTCAAGCCATGTGATACTGTTCACCAATAAACCTTCTTTCCAAGTAACTTTCTTGAATTCAGTATCTTTTTCCCCACTTGGAACTGAACCCAGAAGGACATTTCATCCAACAGACCTTTGCAGTATCCTCATGATCATGTGATCAAAATTCAGATGCTTGGCGTGAATTTATATTTATGACAGGTGCAGTGCACCTGGAGCACCTGATCCCCCCTTTTGCGATCTTCTCACAAGCAAGGTTAATGGGGAGGCCAGGCTCATTTAACAACCAGGCAACTAACCTATCAACTGCAGCAATTCATTTAACCACTGTGGCAAGAAAAATCGTATAATGGGGCAAAACTCACTTAACAAAGGTCTCACTTAAGAACAGAAATTTGGGGCACAATTGTGGTGGTAAGTTGAGGACTACCTGTCAGGGAAAAATAGGGAGCAAAACATGCTGTCTGTTCTGCCTTGAACTCCTGAAGGAAAATGCAGGATACGGCCATGATGTAATAGTGGTTGTGCAGTCTCAGAGATGACATATATTTTGGAAAAATTTCCAAGCCCAGAATGAATCATTCTCTTCCACCATGTACTGCAAGTGAGTTAAAATGTAAAACCTCACATCAACCACCGAAGTCTTGGTCTAGCAGTTTGATGAGTAAAAGAACTGTACCCTAAATAGTCAAAGTTTTAATAGTATTTCCCCATTTTTAAAAAGGTTCAAAGGAAATTTGATACAAAGTACCTAATAACTGCAATCTTCAAGGTTTTATGTATTGGTATAATACAACCAACATATACTCCACTCCTCTGCTCACAATAGAATACCTTATGCCACCAGGCTTGAAATTTTGGGCTTGGAGAACCTAGGACTACGCCTATTAAGATCTGACTTAAGCGTAGTACACAAAATTGTCTGCTACAAAGTCCTACCTGTCAATGACTACTTCAGCTTCAACTGCAATAATACACGGGCAAACAATACATACAAACGCAAGGTAAACCGCTCCAAACTCGACTGCAGAAAATATGAGTTCAGCAACAGAGTGGTCAATGCCTTGAATGCTCTACCCGACTGTTGTTACATCCTCAAACCCCCATAACTTCAACCTTAAACTGTCTAGCGTCGACCTCACCTCTTTCCTAAGGGGTCTGCATAAGCGCACCAGTGTGCCTATCCTGTCCCTGTCCTATTGTCCCCACTTATTCGTACCAATTTCCTGTGTTCATATCTATGTTTACACTTATACCTGTTATCTTGTACATGTTTGACAAACTAAATAAATAAATATACCAACTACCACATTTTATGTATTGGTATAGTACAACCAACTTATACCAACTACCACATTTTGTACTAATACCCAGCTTGCAATCTTAAGCACACCAATCAGATTCGCTATGTACGCTGAAAATGAAGAATTATGCAGAGGATAGGACGATCAATTTCAAGTAATTATGAGAGCAGCAATTCAAAATATCTGGAGGACATCAGTTGCCTATCCTGAGCTTTGCTAGTCATTTACACATGTACTTTATCCTACTTCGGCTTGCTAATTTGGTGATTGACATTGGTCTCTGAATACCACATACACAAATAGCACTTTACTACGTACTGTTGATATGACGATCACTGGGAATTCTTGTCCCTGAAATTCCTCTACTGAGCCAACCTTAATATCTGCTAGATCCACACTGCGTAAGAGAATTGTGATTTTTTCTACCTAAAATAAAGATACATTTTATTTCACAGACAGCATTGGACTAAAAAAAAAATAACATCATGATTTGATTAAAATGATTCAGATATTGAAACAGTTCAATAAGTCAATTCCGATTTGTATTTTTGAAGGTTTTGAATAGTTTTCTCATTGATGCTACTTTACTACAATTTGAATTAGAAAATAAGAAAGTTTATTGAAAGCAATCTGAATTTAAATCTACTTAAAACTAATACATTAATTGCAGATCTTCAAATAAGGGCTATTTTTCTTAGGGGAATTATCCACTATTTTTTTTGCTTTTTCATATTTATTGAATTATTCCAAAATTGGATAGCGTATTTTCTACAAACTATCAAGGATTGTCTTGGATGAGAAAGGAGACTTTTGTAGATATGTATTTTTCACTTTTTAGAAGACTATGCATATCTTGTATGAATGAGAAAAACTGAGCTACATAAAGCCAGGCTGCACATTAAAACATCCTTAACTCTTCTACTCAAAACACTCAATTTTCTCAATATACTTTTGAAAACTATTTTTTTAGTTAGTCTCAATAAAAAAAACACTAGACAATTCATTTTTTATATTGTTTGTTGATAAATGTATTTTTCCCCTAAAAGTAAAATATGAACCACATTGGTCATTCACCAACTTTAACTACTCTAGGAATCAATGTAAATCTCAAATGTCCAATTCCCCAGGCTTTGCAAACACAGTTGGATACAGATTTATTTAAGCCTGGAGCCTGGCACAAATGAGTATAAAGCAGTCCGTTGAAAAGTCAGCACTGGGAGTTACCGCCTCCCAATGCTCTATATAGGATAGGCAGGACTATGCCTCTTTGTCCCACCCACACAACCAACATCTGGCATCGGCATCCAGTTCTCCGTTAGCAGTCCACCATCTGGTGCTTAGGGCCTGCTGCCATCTATACCATGGGCCATAGACTATTGCCAGCCTGCATGCTGTTGCCTCCAGTGTCAGCCAGCTGGGTCCCGGAAGGCAACCAGTCAGCTGTGTGGGAATGCCACCATTGCCTCCCTGCCACGTTCACTGTAGATGGCGCCATCCCATCCGGGCACCTCGTTGTCGCACGGCTCTTCTGCTGCCACATTCTCTAATTCTCCCCTCCCCCCAGGTATGGCAAGCTGATCAGGGCTTGACAGTAAGTTTTGTAAATAATGTGGGTATACAGTATTACCCACCAGATGGATTGACCAACTGCACTCAGTGAATAGTCCTCAATGGAAGAATATCTACATGGAGGGAAGCATGCAACATGGTACCTCAAGATTCTATCTTAAGTGCAATACTCTCCAAATTTTTCATAAATGATTTAGATGAGGGATTGAAGGGTGAATCTTCAAACATGCCAACAACATCAAGCTGGGGGAAATAGCTGACACTGTTTTTTGCACAGGGTGTCTGCAAAAGCTCTTAACTTATAAGTTTCTTTTTTAAACTTTACATTCTTAAATCCTATTGTTTTATCTTTGTTTTAATATTTGTAAATGTTTCTAAAGCTAAAATAAGCAGGAGACAATAAGCACAATGTCTTGCTCCTTGTTATTTCTCACAGGGTATAGATAAATTTCCATTAACAATTTACACCTTCTGTAAAGTATAAATAGATTTTTTTTTCATTGTATAAAGGTTTCCCCAAAGTATACATATTGCAAAATTTCAAATAAGAACATCCAGTTCAAATTGTCAAATGTTTTCTCTAAAAAAAATTAAGGCAACTTGTTTTTCATTGTGCTGTTCAATGTATTCCAAAATATCCAACACAAGTTCTAACATTATTTTTTAATTACCGTTTACCCAGGATGATACTGATGAATAAATTCTTGCAAAATTATTTTCAGTCTGGGAAACTGAAAAATGTATCATGGGAACTTCAAAGCCCTTGGTTTATCAATTAAGATTCAGAAATATCATATCTCTTAACACTTACCACCACCACCCGCCCCAAAAGAATGTTTTTAGTGTTCACATTTATAGTCCAATAATGTAACTTAGACAAATGAACAAATTAACATCAAAATATACTATGGAATTAAAAACAATTATGAAAAGATGAAGCAGAAAGCTATACCTGCTTTCGATAAGGTGCAACTACTCCAATGTCTTTCCCTAATACTGTAGAATTGATGCCTTTAACAAGAAGGCAACAGTAGCGCATCACTTGAACTGCTTCTGTAGGATTGAACCAAGAAGGATTGCAGCCTTCACGAATTTCCGTACCCTAATGTTAGCAAGGCAAGAAATGAAAAACACAAGAGAACAATATTATTTAAATTTCCTTAACTTTATTTACACAGTGCTTGTTAATAATAAAAAGTCAAAACAGGCATTTAAATAGCCAGAGTTGTTCCAGAAATATTATGTTTATCATTCCGAGGAGACTCTCTACAATAGTGACAACACTGTAGTGTTGGGGCAATATAAAAAGGGCTTTATGCCACTCATTACAGGGAAAAACCCCTCTCTGAATGGATTTTAGTATATGGAAGTTTCTACAGAAGAACTGGTCCTTAAAATTAAGATTTTACAGGGCAGTATTAGCAGCTCAGATTTTGAACAGTAATAGTTATTGTTCTTTGCTAAAAGGAATACATCCTCCAGCCATTTCCAATTTATTCTGGATAATTTGTAGTTTCTCAACAATAAAAATGTAATTCTATATATATATATAAAATTCTTTGCATAGAACCCTCCCCCCTAATGCCTCATAATTTTCAGTAAAATGAAACGAATGATTTAAATAAGAGAGTAAATAAGAGAGTTGTGGAGATAAATATAAAAAGAGTAGATTTGAGAAAAAGTGCCTTAACTCTGGATTCATGCATTGTTATGTTTTGATGATGACCACTTCCCCCTTGTTCTATTTTATACTGGCTTACATCAAACTTACATACTGTATTTTTTGGAGTATAAGACGCACCAAGGTTTTAAAGAGGCAAACAAAAAAAAAAAAAAAGAATTTTGCAGTCTGCAAAACTCTCAAAAACGGCCCGTTTTTTCGTGAAAACGGGCCCATTTTTTTTCTCCAAAAAAGGCATGAATAGCCTTTAGGAGGCTTGCAGAGTGCTCCGGGGTGGTGGTGGTGGTAGTATTTGTCCCCACCAATAAACGAGCGAAAAAACGGCCTGATTTTTGTCAAAAAAATTGCATGCATAGTCTTTAGGAGGCTTATAGAGTACTCCTGGGGGCTGGGCAACCTTGAGCAAAAAACAGCCTGTTTTTTCACTCATTTCCCCAGCCCCCAGCAGCTCTTTGAAAGCCTTCTACAGGCTCTGCACGGCCATTTTGGTGAAGGGGCAGGGCTTTGGAGGCCAAAAATGCTGTATTCAGTGTATATAAGACTCACCCAGATTTTCAGCCTCTTTTTTTGAGGGAAAAGGGTGTGTCTTATATTCCGAAAAATATGGTAGTCTTTGAATATATCTTCCCTCTTTTAGAATGATTTGGGTGTTAAAGCAATTTTTAAAAAAATCAGCAGAAATTTCAACCAATGACAAATAGGAGATACAGTTAAGCATTTTTTTATTATTTGTGTCTGCTCCAGAAATAGTTTTTAATTTAAATATTTATCCCCATGCTTCCTAGAACATAATCTTCATTCACAAATTAGTGAAAACAGATTTCATCAGCAGAGTGACATCACTATATCTTCATTATACTTAAGATGAAATGTGTGAAGCTAATTAAATCTTTTTACATCTGGTTTTTACATAATTCTTTTAAAGCAGCTAGAAGCAACATTTAAAATGCTATTGTGCCATGCCTGACAGAGCACTCAGTGAGGTTTTCCCAAATTGGAACAGCAGATTGCAAAATTCTCTTGCCAAGATAAATTACAATAATTCATAAAACTATAAAGAAAAGAACATTTATGTTAAATATCTTGTATTCAAACTACATATCACAGCAATCTAAATAATGTGATATGCTTATTGATTTACATACCTTTGTGTATGTCTGAGATTTCTAAAATCTATCTACTTTAAGTGTAATGCAACGAATACTGATTTGTTTACATACCCTCATTCCATGAAAAATCAGTGGAAAGCCTTTCTTTGGCAGCTTTTCCCACCCCAACAAAGAGTTTACCACTGAAGGATCAGCACAGACTTCTAGTTCCTTGTGATAAAACAGCTTGGATGGCAATGTAAGCAATGCACCATGTGATCTGTAATTCTTCACAAGTTTTGTAATCTGCAAGCATAGAACCAACACCATAACGTGAAAATGAATACGGCTATATTTGGAAGCATTAACATTTTGATACGTGAGTTGAGTTCTGTAAAGCGAGACACAATATTGCTGCTGAGCAACTCTAAATGGCTCCCTACTAGGTTACATTTTTAGGACATCAGGAGGTTCATTGTTTTTAGTCACATTCTAAGTTATCAGTCATAGGTTGAATTAAAGGGAGCCGCTATTCTCCTCTCTCACTCATCACACAAACATATGGATTCATTCACATCACCGACTTTTCTACACTAACACTAACATCTATCCAATTGTGAACTCAACCTCCATGTAGTAATTAAGCTTGAAAAATATTTTTATTTAGTTATTTTTAACATTTCTGAACCACCCATCTATCTCAGAGAGGGACTCTGGGCAGTTTAAACACTATAGAAAAGTTAAACATTTAAAAGGAAGCAAGGACGATTAAACCAGGAGTGAAATTCAGCAGGTTCTGACAGGCTCTGGAGAACCGGTAGCGGAAATTTTGAGTAGTTCAGAGAACTGGCAAATACCATCTCTGGCTGGCCCCAGAATAGGGTGGTAATGGAGATTTTGCAGTATCCCTCTCCTACCATGCCCATAGAAAACAGTAGTAAAAAAAAATGAATTTTACCACTGGATTAAATACTCTTAAAATTAGTTAAAAGATGAAAAGGGGGGGGGGGCACCAGTCAGATCCAGTGCTCCCCTCTGGATTCCTCTTGGCTTCCACCATATTAATCTTTGAAAGTATAATAATACCTGGGAAGACCCAGGTCCAACTACTAAAAGTTTTGTTTGCTGTTATCTTCTTCTCTATCCACAATTAGCAATCCCAGTGATTCAGCTTCACAACATGTTTTATATGGTACAAATTTTTGGTAACTTGTGTACACGTGAGACTGGATCACAGGTTGCTCAGGTCTGAGTAACAGAAACAATGCTTCCCAAAGGTGAGTAGTCAATGTCTCCCGTTACATAATTTAGCGGCAAACAGCCTGAAAATTGATCCGAAAATAAACCTTAAATCTTAAATACAGTATATATTTCAACTAGCCAATTACAACTGAAGAATAGCAATATCATTTAGGCTTATATACTATCCCATAGTGCTTTACAGCACTTTCTGGGCGGTTTACAATGTAGAATCATTATTTGCATATTGCCCCCAATAATCTGGGTCCTCATTTTATTGCCCTCAGAAGGATGGAAGTTTGAGTCAACCTTGAGTCCCGTCATGATCAAACTCCAGGCTGTGGGCAGCCTTAGCCTGCAATACTGCTCTTTAACCACTGTGCCATCTTCATATGGAAGTCCATAGAGTGCAGCTCTACATTTAATCAAAATTCCTAAGAATATACACAAATTTGCTATATTAACAGCAATTTGATACAAATGTCAGATTTAGGGAAACTTCCACACAAAGAATCTGTCAGTTTGAAAGCAGATCTTGATCATTATATTCCCCAGTTTCACTTACCAACAGAGGATTGTATGATCCACAGGGACCAAAAGCATTCTCATCTCGCAGGTACAAAGGGCGATGCATCAGCCTCTCCAACAAAGAGATGTTTAATCCATAAAGCGTTGCAATCTTAGATTTTATTATTGGACCTAGCTGCATGGGATCCCCTGAAAGTATGATCTTCAGATACAGAACATTTTTTTAAAGTGGGACAACTTGCATTTCATACAATGCTCTTCATGAATTACATAACAAAAACTTGGGAGATAGATGCTGTCAATAACAGAATACTCATTTCTCTCCATTTTTTAATAAAAAATAATTATCCATATCTAAAGTAGGACACTCTATTTGAGTTACTTTTGCATTTGAATAAAAAGAAACATCAACTCCCCAAGGCAGCATTTCCAAGTTTTCACTTAGGAGCAATATTTCTACCAATACATTTGTTCAAGGTTCAAATGGATCAAAATGCCTTCTATAAGATTTTAATTAGCAGATAGACTGCTATTGACCAAGAGATACCCTGATGCAATTTTTACATTTTACCTATTTGTATTACTATAAACATACAGTACATAGAAAGGAGGGGGATAATCTGATTAGTCTACAAGTAGAAATATTTAGCAACTCATTGTCCAGGGGCCTCATTTGGCCCAGAAGCCCTCCATGCAAAGATAAACACTCTCGGCAGAAGTTCTATCATTTGAGGCAAACTGAGGGCGGATGAAGGCATTTGGTGTCTTCGTTGGAAAAACAGTGTCACTAGAGCTGTTACAGGAACACTCTTTCCTATCTTGCTGAAAGGCTCTGTACCTCTTAGATTTTTCAGCTTTAATTGCCAGAGACCAGAATCTCATCACCAATCAGTGCTGGCATTTGCTTTTGTGTAGAGCAGGAGTGTCAAACTCAAGACCTGCGGGCCAGATCTGGCCTACGGGGCCACCATGGAAACAACAAAGGACTGGCCTTCGGTGCCTCTGCCAGCAAAAACGGAGCTTGGGAGGGCCACGCACTGGCAGAGTGCTAAGGCCACCACAGATGCCTCCGGCACGTGTGATGTCGAGCTGGCCATGCCCACCTGACCCGTCCGAGGTCAAACACAACCCTGATGCGGCCCTCAATGAAATCGAGTTTGACATCACTGATGTTGAGAAAGCCTAACTTCATGAAATACCTTCCCACTTTGCTGATCTTCTTGCCTGTAGCTTCCCTTGCTTTCCCCAATCCTTTCTTTGCTTGTTTCTCTCTCTCCCTGCCTTCTCCCAGATCCTCTCCCGACATTACAATTTTCTTTACATCCAGACCTTCCTCAACAGCAGCAGCCATAGTTAACCCTTCCTCTGTGTTGCCCTAGGTGGGGCACTGAACTGCTAATGCTGTTGGTACTAGCAGAGATGTTCTTCCACAAGAATGGAGCAGGGGCAAGGGACAGGGCTAAGCCCAGGCAAAACGACGGGCGATCTGGTAGCTCCAAGATTGACGTCAATACTTTGGTCACTGGACGGTCCTTTTGGACCTAAACCATCCCGGAGAGACAGTGACAGGGAAGGGCACATCCTGCTGATCCCAGAGATATCGCAAAGTCTCTGGTAATCTGGGAAAAAGCCTTTGTTGCTGGTGGCCATGAGGCAGCCTTTAAAGCTGCTGAAGCCGTGGACAGCTCCGCAACGAAAGGTCAGGAGAGAAGTGTGTTGTTTTGGTGAGAATTTTTTCTTCTTTTTTTGCTATTTGAGAGACCACTCTAAAAGATGAAAATTAAAGTTAAAATTGAAGACTGAAGAGAATAAGCAGCAAATTTAAGCCAAGTCAGACTGAACAGTTTTTTTCTCCTTTTTATTGTTGGAATTTGAATGGACTTTAGAAATGCAGTTTACCTTTTAAACCGGACTGACTTTTATTTTCTCCTCTTTTTCTTTTGAATACATTGATACAATTAATTTTTATTGCTCAAGCCCCCCCCCCCCACGTTCTTTCTCCTATTTTTTCTTAATGCTGTAATGCTTAATGTCTTATTGTTTTTCTTCACTTTTGAATCTTTTTTTTAAGTGTAAAAGGAAGTGAGTGAAAGGGAAGGGGGGAAATAAGTAGCATTGCCACACAGAAGCTTTGAAACATAGTTT